TTTCTGTCTCTTGCAATGTGGTATTCTGTGTGTGTAGATGGCGTGTGTATGTGTGTATCTTGTGTGTATCTATTTTTGGCTTTCAGGTGAGCTTGGTGGACCACACGTCCCACGCTCTCTCTCTCTCTCTCTCTCTCTCTCTCTCTCTCTCTCTCTCTCTCTCTCTCTCTCTCTCTCTTTGTCTATATTTATATGTATATAGCTATCTCTCTCTACGACTCTCTTTATATATATCTCTCTCGTTCTATATCTCTCTCTCAAACTCTGTCTCTCTATATCTATCTGTCTCTATCCCTCTATCACTCTATATATCTCTATCTCTATTTGTCTCTCCATATCATCTCTCTATCTCTATCTATGTATCTATCTTTCTATGTATTTATTTATTTATTTATTTAGGCATTTTTATATAGCGCTTATCATAAAGCTCTAAGCGCTTTACAATTATTAAAACATGTATCTGTCTCTCTTTCTCCCTGTCTGTATCTCTCTCTCTCTGTTTCTCTCTAAATATATAGTTATCTCTCTCTCTCTACCTTTCTATATGTGTCAATATGTCTCTTTGTCTTTTTTCATCTCCATCTCTCTCTCTCTCTCTATATATATATATATATATATATATATATACGTGTGTGTGTATATATACATATATATTTATATAATATTTTCTCTCTCTCTCTTTCTCTCTCTCTCTCTCTCTCTCTCTCTCTCTCTGAGATAAGATAAGGTAATATAAGATAGATGAGATGATAAGGTAATATAAGATAGATGAGATGATAAGATAAGATAAGATGAGAAAAGAAAATATGATAAGAAAAGATAAGATGAGATGATCGGATACAATTTGTTAAAATAATATAACACAAAATAAGACAGGATGATAAGATAAGATTATTTTATTATTAAAAAATTATAAATTTTTTTTTTTTTAATTACTACCTTGTACATATTAATTTTCAGCACATACATCAATACATCCTTTTAACCAAGACAACATTTTACAATGATGACAACGTCAACACCTTACATCTAAAGTCATTGTCTGGCGTAGGAAGCACTCTTTGGTTAACGTGATCAATGACTATACAAAATCCTAAAAGCAAAGTTTGACTGAATATGACAAGAACATTTTTATATTTTCAAAATTTAATGTAAGGAATTGTTTTGCAATAAGTGGGTTAGGAGAAGTGTTTAGTAAACCTGTCAACAATGCAATGATAGTGTCACTTACACATGTAAACTATTTAATGATTTTAAAATGAACCTGTCAACAATGCAATGATAGTGTCCCTTACATATGTAAACTATTGAATGATTTTAAAATGAGAAGAAACCAAAAAGATTAAACTTAATTCACTTTAAAAAAAACGTCTTTTCAGTTTTAAAAATCAACTATCAACAACTTTTGTGTCATCATAGGTGCCACATATTGGGTCATTTTAGTGTCATATCATAGTGTCATTTTAGTTTCATTTCAGTGACATTTTAGTTTCATTTTAGTGACATTTCATTAAACCATCTCAATGTTTAAAAAATGTTAAATAACCAGCAATTTTCTCATCATTTTCCCAGAAAAACGAATTAAGCTCTGAATAATTTAAAGTGAAAAACTAATGTTTTCATAATTCAATTTTCTGCATAAGCTGTAATATCAAGTATGATACGCAAAATTCGTACCCGGATAGCACAGGTGTCGAAATGCTTGGGGTATGCACGGGTGGTTTCGAGTTTGTCAAATTCAGTCTGGCTTTCTTAAGTCAGATATTGTGTGATCTACTTGCAATGGTAGATGGCTTTCTAGAGTTGTCTCTTGTGCGATTCTACTTGTAGATTCTAACTGGTAGATGGACATTACAAAATCTCGCCGACACTTCCTGTAGCTTTTATGTGCCCTCCTTTATCAATAATTTAAAATAGTTTCAAATCAATAAAAATAAAAATAAAAATTGAGACTTTGTTATGGTTCACACATTTGACGTAATCAAAACGCAAATTATTTAAGCGTAGAATAGTTGATTTTAATTGTGATTTTATCTTCAGTCATTGACATAAAGTATAATATCAAAATAATGTGTACATTGTATCTTCATTTATTGACATGAAGTATAATGTAAAAATGTGTAATTGTATCTTTGAATTATCTCCCTTTTTAGTATGTTATCTTGTAATTCGTTCATATGAAGACAGCGAAAATAACATTCAGATTCATTTTTACTTAATTCAACTGAATGTGTACATTAGCAAATGGCGCCAGCAAGCCAAAGCTCTTGATGCCCTTCTTGATGCCCTCCTTGATGCACCACCCCCACCACCCACTTTCAAGCCCAAAAAGCCCTCTTGCTGGGACAGGCCCCATCCGTAAGTTCATTCTACTGACAAGCCTTACAGTGGTCATCTCATCCCAGGGACATCCGGTCGGTCAGTGCTGTTGCTCTCACAACTAAAGCAGTCGACTTTCTCAGGGGTCGGGATTTGGCATTTACCTCCTAATATTCTCCTCGGCCCATTCCGGGGAGGCATATGACGTCATAATATTGGGTTTGCGTATATGTTGTCTACCCCGTAAATAGTTCACAGCAATAAAGAACTGGGACGAATTGATTGCCTAGGAAGGTCCCCACATTGGCTGCGTGTAGAGAATCATAAGCATAAGGCTGCCACTTCCCACCTCACGAGGCTGCCATTACCCACCTCATGAGGCTGCCACTACCCACCTCATGAGGCTGCCACTACCCACCTCATGAGGCTGCCACTACCCACCTCATGAGGCTGCCACTACCCACCTCATGAGGTCCACCTCATGAGGCTGCCACTCCCCACCTCATGAGGCTACCGCTACCCACCTCATGAGGCTGCCACTACCCACCTCATGAGACTGCCACTACCCACCTCATGAGGCTGCCACTACCCACCGTATCAGGCTACCGCTACCCACCTCATGAGGCTGCCACTTCCCACCTCATGCCTCATATCCGACATCAGCTACATGTAGTTTGTACCGGTATGACAGTGGCACAGCTGACATTGGCACAGGTAGCACTGTAGTTGCTGCAATTTAAGAAGATTTTACGCACGCCCTTCGACTTAATAAATTGAGGATATTGCTAATAATTTCAAAAACGCTCTGGTGTATAAGATTATTAAGAACCTAATGACCTAAGATTATTAAGAACCTAATGACCTAAGATTATTAAGAACCTAATGACCTAAGATTATTAAGAACCTAATAACCTAAGATTATCAAGAACCTAATGACCTAAGATTATTAAGAACCTAATGACCAAAGATTATTAAAAACCTAATGACCTAAGATTATCAAGAACCTAATGACCTAAGATTATCAAGAACTTAATGACCTAAGATTATTAAGAACATAATGACCCCCTCTTCTAGCTCATGTTATTGCACGAGGAGGCCTCAAAATTAATGTTAATCACTTTATTCATCCTATAAAAATGACTTACAACTTTGTCTTTGTGTTATCTCCCTTTTCGTAGAGGACTGACGTTGTGTTCTTTCCCTTTTGTTTACGTCTGACGTTGTATTATCTCCCTTTTATGTTGACGCCTGACGTTGTGTTATCTCCCTTTTATGTTGACGCCTGACGTTGTGTTATCTCCCTTTTATGTTGACGTCTGACGTTGTGTTATCTCCCTTTTATGTTGACGCCTGACGTTGTGTTAGCTCCCTTTTATGTTGACGCCTGCCGTTGTGTTATCTCCCTTTTATGTTGACGCCTGACGTTGTGTTATCTCCCTTTTGTTGACGTCTGACTTTCGTTATCCAGAAAGCGATACGCCATAACACAAGAGGTTATACAACTTCAGTGTGACTGGCTCAATGTCAGCATTAGTCTTCTAAGTAGTAACATGCCCCCCCCGTCTCTACCCCCCCCCCCCCCCCGGAGAGAACTTAGAGAAAAAAGAGATACACACTAATGGGGACCTTGGAGCCATATGACATGAGTGTCAGGTGACATCACATGGCATGAGCGTCCATGGGCGCCCGCAGGGGTGGGGGGCAAGGGGGGCACTTGCCCCCCCCCCCGGATTGATTGAATAAAAAAAAATTAGACAAAAATAGAAAAAAAAGTTATTAAAGTAAAGAGAAAATAAAGAGAAAGTAACTAAGCTGATGTCCTGTCCGTTCGTTCACCATACAAATACGCTACAGTAAATTAAAAATAAATTAAAACATTACTAAAAAATTTTTGCCCCCCTCCTAGAAAGTTAATCGATCTTTTGCCCCCCCCCCTAGAAAGTTTTCTGAGGGCGCCCATGTGAGTGTCCATTGAAATCACAAGGCATGAGTGTCAGGTGACATCTCATGGCATGAATGGCCTGCTCTCCTTCACTTGTTAAATCTTTTCTCCGCCCCCCCCCCCTCTTGTTACAACCAATCGCCGTGGCCGTGGACTTACTTTTCCTCCAGTCCTTTAACTATTTCCTACATTAACTCTCTTACCTACTAATGGTCTGTTACATTCCTCTTGCTTTCCTCTCTTCCTTTAACTATTGCCTACATTAACTCTCTTACCTACTAATGGTCTGTTACATTCCTCTTGCTTTCCTCTCTGATACTACACTGCAGCTAAGTGTTTGTTTTCTTATTGGTTTTTTTATTGCTCTTCGCCGAAGAAGGCTTCTTGTCGACACGTTCGTTGTTTTGTTGCGGCCTATCCCCCCCCCCCCAATTTTAAAACATTACACATTCAGCTCGAAAGAGAGAAAAATTGATCTCAAAGTTTTTGTTAAATTTAACATAGTTTAACCACTATGTTAAAGCTGATCTGCTACTTACCTCCCTTAGTGCGGCAAGACTTTTTCAACACACACAAAAGTAGCAGTGGAAAATATTGTCACCTCGACATTATACGCCAACAGGAGCGATTAATTATTATTTTCTTAGATTTGTATAACAAAGGTAAACATTACAATTGTTAAGTAATTATAGTTTAACTGTAATCAACATTTTAGCATTTGACATAATTTAAATGTCATAGGGCAGCTGCCTGACAATGCCTTTAAATATCTTCATGACAACTTTTACTGATGCATCGTTGTTAACTTTTGAGTCTGTCTTGTGGATGACAAGATCCGGTGGGGCATTGGATGACGCTCCTGTCTGATTAGATATTGGTCTGTCATTGGCAGACCCTCCTGTCACATTAGATATTGGTCTGTCATTGACTGACCCTCCGGTCAGTAAAGTAGGAATGTCGTCGCTAAAGTTTGATTCAAACGTGTCGACCCCTGGGCTCATAAAAGACATGACCTTTAGGTCATTACAGGTCAGATGTAGACTTTGATGCCCTCTCAGCTCTCTAGGAGAGCCTTGAGTGGAAAAAGGCCCAGTAAATATATTCAATATTTGTTTAGGTGAGTTCTCATGATCGTGCAAGTTGAGACAAGCGTGTCTGATGGCCACAAACCCCGAGTTCAAGTCTACCTTCTCTGCATCTGGTTGGATTGGCTCGCTTGATTCGCTGCTTTCACTAGATGCTTCAAATGGCTGCTTTGATTGGCTGCTTTCATTAGATGATTCAAATGGCTGCTTTGATTGGCTGCGCTCATTAGATGCTTTAAATGTTTGCTTTGATTGGCTGCTTTCATTAGATGCTTCAAATGGCTGCTTTGATTGGCTGATTTGATTGGACAGTTCCGTCAACTGGTTTGCTTTGCTGCTTTGATCGGATGATTCAAAAATCTGCTTTGCTTGTCTTCTTTCAATGCACGGTTTAATATTCTGATTTAATTGGCTGTTATGATTGGACGGTTCCATGAGATGGCAGGATTGGCTACTTTCACTGGGCTGTTCTATTGTCAGATTTGATTGGCTGTTTTCAAATGTTTCCATTGGCTGCTTTGATCGACTACTTTGCTTGGTTGGTTCAATCGGCTGGGTTGGTTGCCTGCTCTCATCAGCCAATTTGCCACGCGTGTTCACGTTCATGACAAAGATGACGACCTGGGCGCTGGAGCTGACTACCATCTGTTGTTCAAGACTTGGTAATTGGGCCACATCGAGCACTATCATGCCTAAAACTTGCCCAAAAATATCCTTTAAACATTCAACAACTTGTCTCGTGAGTTCATCTTCAGTGCCCACAATGACAACATCGTATGTCTTTAATTGCAGAAGCGCATCCAGTCGACCTAAGGGCGCCAATTTCACTTGGGGCTCTAACTCATATTCTTCGTTAAAGATCTCCTGCCATATCGGATCAGGATTGTCGTCTGCCTGGTGGTGACGTAAAACTTTCTTAGCTGCGTCCAATTTAATGGAACGCACAACCGAGCTGTTCTGCCAGGTGAGTTGACACGCCTTGTCTCCCTTAAGTTTGAGAAAGTCTAGATACAATAAAGCTTTTGTTATTCCTTCAGCCTCACAGAATGTTAAATCCCTCTCAAGATTACCAATGTCCAGCCAACTGCCTTCTGGTTTGTCAACTAGAGCCTTTAATACCGGTACAGCTTCCTTGTAGTATGCCACAAGTTGACCCAAGCTCTCATTGTTGGACACGACGGAGTCTTTAATGTCCATCTCTTGAATGTCCGGTTTCTGGCGAAACAGTCCCCAAAGTTCGTTGCGTGTCTTCAGATCAGACTGTTTCGAAACCAGAGAAGCCATCACTCGAATAGACGATAAAATCATGCCCTCGGCCATGCTGTATAACTTTTCTTGTTCCTTTTCATCCTGGAGTGTAGACGCCATCTGAGAACAACAAATGGCGGCCATGTGGTACATCACAGAGTGGCATGTTGTCTGCTGGGCACAAGAGCGGTCTTCTCGTACAAGTTTCTGACAGACCTTCAGCGCTGTGATGTAGTCCCGACACTGCATGAATTTAAGCGCAATTTTTCGAAGCATTTCATCGTCACAAAAGTCCATGTTAATACACATTTTAAAGATGTTGAGTGTCTGTTGTATTAATATGTTATCATCACTAAAAAACAAAATATTTCCTGTAATGTCAGTTAGTAATTTGATTAAGCGTACCTTATATTCCGGCAAAGCAAGCTTTTGCAAATCTACTGATTCTCTCCTAATCGTTTTATAGACTCGTTCTTGTTCAAACTGAACGGCCTTATTTTGGTACAGTATTCCTAAGTAAAGGTACGCCTTTGGGCATGTTCTCTTCTCCAGAATTTGAGTCAATATTTTCTCCGCTCTGCACATTTTGCGTAATGTAACGAGAATTTGTCCCGCTGTTGTTAAAACTATGGTAGACGTTGGACTGAGACCGATAGCAAGTGCACACAGGTCCTCTACAGACTCTGCTCCCATCAACCTAGTCTTTTCCCACTCTTCAAGTAATCTCATGTCTTTTTTAAGTAGCGCTAGTTCTATGATAGCCACAGCTTTAATCTGAGTGCTACTGGACAGCGTTCTAAGAAGCTTCAGTTCTTCAACAGACTTAGTAACGTAGCCCACACGATTTGCGCTTTGGTCTCTACCCATGTTTTTCTTATAGCGACTGAGTCTCCTGTACAACACAGCCAGCATTAGACGCAGGCGATCATCCTTCGGACGAAATCTTAAAACATATTTGATCAGCTCTGTAGCAGAGGTCAGATTCTTATCATTACCTGAAATTTTGAAGTACGTGTAACATTGTTCGGCTACAGCGTCCAACCGGGCATCGTCACTAAACTTTCTCTCCTTGATTAAACTTAACTGAGTCTCCGCCATCGACATGTCTCCCTTTAACAAATACACAAACGCCAAATTGGCATGGGCCACCAAATTATCTGGCAACGTGTGTACAAGGTCTGTGCAGAATTTCAGAGACTTTCTGACGTTGTGAAGTTCGGCGTGAACTCGGACGAGGACATTTTGTCGCCACACACGCTGAATCAGTTCAGCATCGTCATCATCATCTTCCTCTCTTAGATGTTTCTTTAAAAACAGCCAAGTATCATCCCTCAGAGTTGGTCTTGCAATGTTCAGTGGACCATCCAAGATGGTGGCATCTCCCAAGTTAAAAGAACATGGAAATTCTCTCATATTTGAGACAAAGTTTGAAATTCGTCTCTTGGCTTGAACAAGCTCAAGACTTTCACACATTGTGTACTGTCTATCGCCTCAGTCTGTTAATAAGAACAAAATATACTTTTAAATCCCCATTTTTAGCCATCTATTGTTGACAGATACAGTCTGATACGGAGACAGTTTGAGGCAGATATTGCACAAAAACGTTTAGAAAGGTGATAGCCACCAAGAACTAGAAAGATACAAAGACATTTAGATTTAGAGACATATTGTTATATTATGAATAGAGCGTTTGGAAACTTTAAAGACATATCCACGCATCCAGGTGGTGTACGAAATAGATACAGAAATTTATACAAACAAAAACTTTTTTTACAAATAGAGACATAATATATTTATATAGATGAAAACTGTTGTACAAATAGAGACATGTATTTCTATAGATGAAAACTGTTGTACAAATAGAGACAGGTATTTACAAAGACTAAGTACTTTGGAAAAAATAGCGACCCATACTCACAGATATTCCAATAAAGTGAAAGCCTTTATTTAAGTCCCTTACAGACACATTTCAAGTCTGTGATATTATTGTTCTAGACTTTACCTTTTATACAGGCAAATTCTGCTATCCCCCCCCCCCACCAACCCGTTGATTTACTTACTGTTAAGTTCTTTCTTATCTACGTGAATATGTGTAACGCATAATTTTAATAGGCCATTGATAAGCTCGTAGATTTATAGATATGCGGATCTACTTCACGTTGCTACTCATGCGACAAAGAAAACAAATATTTGGATTTAAGATAGCGTATCTGGGGGTTTTAGTCCCTTCAAACGTTAACCAAAAGTTTTCTTATTATGGGTCAAGGACATTGTCAACTCCTATACGTCTTCTTGGATTGATTACATTCGTCAGTTCTTTCATACGTTGAAGCGTCGTACTATTCTCACTATCAATTAACAAACTCAACTCCTTTTCATAATAACTATAACTTTAATATCTAAGTAAATATAATAAACATCCTATC